ACCCAAAGGCGGCAAAACACACACTACAATGCTATTCAAAAGGGCCCTACATACCCATAAATAATCTATTCAGTGCGTCTGTCTGTGTGTGTGTGTCGCTGTGTATTTAAGAGCGACAGAACTAAGCGGGCAGCAGATATCCCTGAACTTAAAATACGAGCCCTACATTAAATTTTGTTCGGCTTTCTTTTTTAAATAACAACCTAATTTCGTATCTGGCGCATTACAGAGGTTAACGTTTACCTTTTTTGCTGGTATGCTTTCTTAGAAGTAATATAGATAGTGTAAAATAAGCTAATGAGTCACCGATCCAACTATAGATGTACGCAGGAAATTACTAGGACATGACAAAAGTAACATACGTAGAAAAGCATAGATGAAGATGACCTTCATTTATTTGAATAGTAATAGTTCTGTTAGACCCCTGCAGCTAGGATATAAACATGATAATAGGAAATCAAAAATGCACGCCTTTGGAAAAACGTAACCTTTTAAAAAAATGGTAATTTTTTTCCTTCAATTAAAATAGTTAAATTAAAGTAGAACATCTAACAAAGAAGATATTTAAAAAAACCTTACCGAAAAACCAGCTGATTACCTAAGTTATACAGTTTCGTGGTTTGATAATTTGATTATTGGTGGAACTTAGAAGTTAATCAAAAAAGAAGGTGATAAAATTGTCTTTTGTTGATTACAATGAACCGTTCCCGATCTTGAACTGGTAGCGCCCCCTAGCGCTATATTTCTGTAATGTAATCGCACAGCTGCCAAGACATTCATGTTTATTTCGCTTGGTGGCGCCACCATCCACTCCCGCGCAATCTGGAAAAGCTTATATACAGAAGAAAGTTCAGAATGGCTAAAAGAGCTATTTCTCATTTAAAAACAAAAAAGATAAATAAACCATTTAATGCTGGCAAATGATTGTCAGATCCATAAAATTAATTTGTATATACATTTTTCTAATTATATTAGATTATCTAATTTAAGTGTGAGAATCTTCGCCCGAAGAAATCGTTTGGTAATTTTTAGAGAGAATTCCATTCAAATAGTACTTACTGAAAATGATGATAATTATAATTATAGCATTAATATTAATTAAATAAGTGAGCAGTATTGTTTATGTGGGCCTCATTGAGAAGCATTATCCGATAAACCCTTTCTGTCCTAAAGGACTACGTGCACAGTAGTACATTTCCGATTGATTTGTAACTAAGTGGAACAATAATTCATTAAAGTCATTACGGTAATTTCCTTTGGTCAAATTAAAGACACTCGTTCGGATGTATAACGCTAATAATAGGATCCTAGCCAAGTCGACTAGAATCTATTATTTTATACATCTGTGTATTGGAAGATACGTTGTTTTTACTGTTATTAGATTGCCAATATTATTCTAATCTGTTTACCCATTATGATCGAATATGTCAATACGGATGAACACAAGTGATGCGCACACGAGCATTGTGTTTATATATGTATTTCCAACAACTAGAAGTAACAGTGTACCGGAGCTGCGTGTAGACGCATTATATCTAACAGAAAATAACTGTTCTTGGTAAAATTAATGACGTCTAGTGGGTGAGTGTTCGTAAATGTCGGAGCTGTTGCACCCTTAAAACGGCACGCCCTCCCGAGTTACTGAGGCTAAAACTATCCTCACAACGAATAGCGCTAATAGGCGCGTGCTCGAAAATTACAGTAACCCATAGCGACTCATTGCTAATCATCGTCGATATATGATAGTCTTTAGTCTGCTAGATGTGAGCGGGTTTTTACCTTTACACTGTCACACAGGGCCATACTGCCCGATCCCCATATATACGCGACTGTTGTTACTTTCAAATCCTTTTTTGAGAAATGGTAGACCAACAATAAGTGTCTTTAAGTGAGAACTTAAATGGTTATTGGTAGCAAGCATTTATAGAGAGTTATCCTATCACCTCATTTCGAGAGCCGAATAACCTACAGACAGTCCATAGACGCCCGTACACGCAGGCACACAACCACATGCAATACGTAACTTGAAAGGTTTTTTTTATTTGAAAATTAGTAACAATTCTAGACGTGGTATTTTTCTGTTATATTATGCCCGCCTCACAGCAACTATAACCTATGATAAAATTCACATAACTCTTACAGTTGTTTTACAGATATTGCATAATTGATATCAAACCTGTAGCAAAATAAGGTAGGTTCAATATATTCATGTTGAGGTTTTGTTGACTGGCGGCATAATTAAGGGCTTTCGATAGGCGCTTGATGCAATATCCAAGTACAATACCTCATCTATTACAGAATCAGCATTTGTATAAGTAGGATGGTTAAATATTAGAAACCTCCTCGGTCTTACAATATTTTCACAACTGAGTGCAAAAAAAAACCTCTCAACTCAATTTGGCAATCGAAATGAAATGCTTGTGTCCTCGACGAGTGGAGACTTTGTATGTAAATTAACCAATCCATATACCATATGGATCTCCAAATTGTATCCCTCATCAGCATACTAGGTCCATATATTGGTGGGCGTCAAATAGTAGTTCTCGAGTACTTGTCGCAATGACTGATCTATAGATACGTTTAGTTCCAAGAATAACAGCACGCAAAAATAAGTCGGATTTGATCACTTGTCGCTTAGCGGTACTTTTTCACTGAAACCCACGAACTCAGCTTGAATACAATATATATAGCCCGAAATTCTCGATACGGTAAAGTTAGTGGGACTAAACTTGATGGGGCCGGTCCATGGAAAGCCGACAGCGAGTTCCGTTTACAGCATTCTATGCGTTCAAAATGCAATACAATTGTTATCATATTTGGGTTGTTCAACTTGTGGCATCTAAAGGGTCTACAATGACTTTGTTGATACTTATTTTGATGGAAATTACGATTAATTATCGAATTACCATCTGCTACGATTTTGGGTACCCACGTAATTTTCCGCCTGGTGTAAAATAACGTGCCGTGAAGCATGTCCTTTACTGTTGCAAGACGTTTTCGTGTTGGTAAAGGAGCTGTTAGGTTATGCTATCTACTCAAAGCGCACGCTACAATAAATCACCGTGGGCTGGGAACGGCGGTGGCTCGCTACAAGAGATTGTCTATAAAGAGCTAAGCTTCGGGCAAACAGTTTTTACCATTTTATTGCTATTTTTTATTTAGCTTATGTGCAATTATTGTTAATTAGTACCGCCTCCTTTTACACTCGTTTTTCGTGGCTGCAATGGTCAAGCCTACAAGCCTGTTTTGAGGTAATCCGTATTTGGAGGTCCTAGATGTATCGAAAACAGGTGTACATCCGTCGCTTGGCTAAAACCTCTTCGATAGGTGTAGCATACACTTATCGAGTTACCGAACCCCTCTCCTGTTGACGACTGCTAGTTTTGGTTTGTTCCACGAGATGTGAAATCGCTAACTGTAGTAACACGCTAAAACCTCCGTGTCATTGGTGAAATGGGGCCATCTTTATCGATTCATATGCAATCACTTGTTACCGTTACTGCGATTTCATACCACTTACTTGGGTGGTTATTAGCAAAAGTATGTTGTGCATGCTGGATCAAACACGTTAGTTGATTCAGCTGGCGTATTCAAATTTTCAATCGTCCATCGCTAGCGATCAGACTGAAATCGTTTATTTGCAAAGCGTCTACCCAAATCCTGTCCACTGCTCTCTGACGCGTGAGGCTTAACCGACCACTGCCTGTTCCCTTTGTTTCTCGTGCACGTGCTATCAACCATTTCCTTTTTAGGCGTGTTCAGTTTGCGCAGGCCCTCATTACATCTCGTATATTTCCCGTTCGATTTGTTTAACCAACAATTTCAAACAGCTTCTGCTGCGTTAGAAGTCGTTAGTGGGTTAGGCTCGAACGTCGGCACCGTTGAATCCTATGCTGAACGTAAGGACGGGGTACAACGTACAAAAAGGACAAATGAAATCAACTCTGCGCATCGATTATTCGTGACTGACAATACTTTTTCCTCATCCTCGTCGCTTTCGCGATTTATATCTGGTAGACGATCATCACCTGTAGGCTATGTCGCTGGGTCGATGTGCACCTATAGCGCCTTGTAGATCTTGCAGTTTGTTTAGCTAGGAGACTTGTACCCGAACTCAGTTCAGTGACCACCGCTGGTTCTAGAGCCGTGCAAGCGTTCCAGAGACGCAACTGACAATATCTTCTTGCTCATCATCTAGATGAAGATCTAAAGTAAAAGAACTGTAACGGGTGAGGGAAGATGGACGCACGAAGCTGAAACGTGTGGCAAACAGTTTTTTTTGCAGTTCTGTATCTATCCATCCACGCATGGGCCCAGTACGGTTTAAAACAGAACGACGGCGGCATCCAACAGCCAGCGAACTCTTGTAGTCCTCGCTCACTTTTCAAAAAAGTCCAACGACGACAACAACAGGAACACCAGCAGCAGTGGCAGGAGCAAAAACATCACCAACAGCTTCGTGTTCTACTCGGTATTAGCTTTGGGCGCCTGTCAGCGTCCGCTTATTCGGTTCATTCTTGCGACAGCGCAGCGTGTAGCGGGACCTCCTGCAACGGCTCTGCTGCGGCGGCTGATGTTCCGAGAACTGCATTTATTTGACGCCACCGACGTCGCAGGCAGTCAGCAATATTTGACGGTCGTAGCTGAAGCAGCAACAGCAGCAGTGCCAGCTCTATAGCGCTACAAGGGTCGCGACGAGCGATGCAAGACCTGTTCTTCCAGTCAGCGAATCAGCCTCTCCTCACGTTGTTGTTGTGCTTCGTATCTTAGCTAGTGTGTACCGTCCGAAGTTGGCGGTCATAGTAAAAACGATTGCCGTGTCGACAGCCAACACGCATGTAACCAACTGGATAAACTGCAGCGATAGCATTGGCAACGGGAGAGTCAGTAGCGCCATCTGGTGGTAGAGAACTGCTAGAAAAATGAAGCAGCCGTTCGTGGCTCACGCTGGGTGACAGACAAGTAACAACCGGCCCCGGTAGTACTGCCCCCTTCAGCCCAAGTGGGTTGTAGACGATTTCGGCGCAGTAACCACGATCGCAGTTTTGCTATTCATGCTACGACAAATATGGATAGGCACTAAAGGGTCCAAAGTAGAAAAAAAGGCTCTCAAACTTCAACGCTACTGTTTCTGCTCTCAATTACTTAGTTGTCAGTAGACAGAACGCGCGAAACCTACCGCGAAAAAGGACGCCAGACGGCATTGCGTTTTGGACCTCGACACCCAACAATCGTGAAGTTCCACTATTTATCGTTGTTGTTCGGCAAACCGCGGTTGTGTGTGTGCGTTTGTGCGAACGTGCTTCGCCGTGAAAACCGAGATAGATATCTTTGATGTGGCAGACCGCAGAAAAATGGCTAGAGGCGTGCGATTTACTATTGGGAAAGGCCGTGGTGGTAGTTGTCGTGTAATTCATTTGTGAAATATACCTATCTATCATGTTCAGTATAAGCAACGAAGTAAGCCGTGTATGAGAAACTTGTACGGGCACAAACAGCGAGGAAGTCGTGCTGTTAACGAGACAGGCAGTAATAGCTACGATTGATGCGGGACGTAAAACGCCAGAGATATCAAAAGTACATATATATGGTAATGGAGACAATGCGAAAGTGATGACATTATAAATATGAACGATTAGGCGACAGTGCTATCGCTTCCACGGTCATTTATTGACTAGTTGCATAGGGCAATCGTAGCTCTGTAATGCAGCGCGCGTTTAGGTCTTATCATTTCGTAGAGCGTACACATTCGAATTAAAACATACGTCCGATCACGCTGCTGGAAGAGGGCCTCACGTCACAGGCCGCACCATTGACAAATGATGCAGCCAAATGGAATAGCGTGTGAAATGGTAATCAAACTAGAGGATATTGTTGCATTCGCCATATATCCCTAAGGAAAACATTCTTGTGCGGTAGTCCTACTAAATTTTTCTAACTACGAACCCGCTAGGAATATTATGTAAAAGCATCGTCATTTTCAACATCGAAACTACCATCCTTACAACCCTTATCAATAATATAGAATAGGTTTTATTTTTTCTATTATAATGGTATTCTTAATTAATTAGCGATTCTACGTAATGCTGAGATCCCGCGTAACCTGCATTCGCCGTCAGCCACGATACAGCGACCGGCAATGCGTATGAACCGAATTTTCGAAATCAATTAATTCGTGGATACCATCATCCAGTCCGACACAAGGACTCCTGCCAAGTTTTTCGGACACGACGCCGTCCTACCGAGGGGGTTATCGAAAGCTGCAAACGAATCGTAAAAACGCGTTTTTAAATACAAATAGAAAACGACGGCGGCGACGACAATAACGGCGTAGGCGAGCATGACGTTGTTCGTGTCCACGGTGCTACTGTCAATGCCACCGTGATAATAATGATCGTTTCACCTTTTCTTCGGATCCCTATAGGCGCCTGCCTGCCTAGTGGACGGTTTTGTTGACTTGCGGCGTGGGATCATATGGATGTGTAGGTGGTTTGTGTAGAAGCTTTTATCGGTTGGCCGGCGACGTCGATCTGGTCTCGGCGTGATCAGCACCGCTTAGCGGGCACCGACGTCAAGATCGCGTTCAACTGCCTTCCTATCACCCGCTGGGTTGCTCCCAGGATTCGCGCCCTTAATACTACCACTGAACTGATTTACTGAAACATTAACTAAGCCAGCTCCGATACTATAGCCTGGCGTGGGACGCCGAAAAATTTAAGCAGTTACTGTCAGCCCGGAAAGCTGCGATCTAAATGCAAGCGGCGACGGCGGACGGCTAAGGAATATTGCTGTAGAGCACGGCTGAGAAAGCCGATAGCTGCTATATTTGGTAGTGTTATTATATTATAGCTGAGTGACTGGTAGTCAGCTCGTAGATGGTGAGCGGGTGTTATAATAGTGGTCTTGCGATAATACAAAGCCTTGTGCCTCCACCAGCAAGAGATGCAGCGGCAATTGAAACTGCTGCAGATTGAAACGCCGGAGCATCCACTGGCACTACCAACCCACTGCCGCCCACGCAAAAAATCCGCTTGTTAGTTCGCTGACTGTGACTTTTGTCTTCGAGATTATCGATGTCAGCTCTGTCACAAAAGCACAACACAGCCAATTGAACTAAGCACTTCTTCGACAAGGCGAATGGCTCAATGTGAGAACGCCGCTGTCCGTGTTGACACGACACGGTGAAGTGCGAGGAAACTCAGCAGTTGCCGGTTCGACCACCGACGGCAAAATCTCAACGTGCAAGTCACCGACGCAAACGTTACCGTTAACGTTATTTGCTCCATTGGTCGAGTCTGCTGTTCAGGTCGTTGTACATCGTCGCGTGGTCTGCGCGCATGTCACCGACCGTTCTATCCTCCTTCAGTCAGACGAACGTGCCATTCTCTGCCAGATGACAAAGGACCTATCTATATGCGGCCAGCACTCTCACCCACGCCGCAACGAACGGAAATGCAACACAGACACAACTAGCGTCTATGAGCGACAATACGAACGAAGAACTGTTTGTGTTCGTACTATCGCTATGGGCTCCGGACGTGCGACAGAAATAGTAGTGGCACCTATCGAAACACGTACTCAGTCTGTTTTGGAGCTTTGATGAGGATCATGTCACCTAGCCGACAGGAACGTTTGTATCACCTATAGGATGTGGTGCAAGTAGCCTAATAAGTGAAAACCACCAAAAAGGTCGGAACTATCTCTGGATTAAAGCCTGTGCCTCACTGTCGTGCGAGCTACAAGATAACTACCACATCGGTGCAAAATGGTGACTGTCGTGCGAGGTGATGGTAATGAAAATGGTATCGACGCAACTGATGGAGTTGATATTGAGGCGCTGATCGTTCAGATAACTTCAGAAGAGGAAGAGGAGAGGCGGGCTCAGGAGTTCGCCAGAAGACCACTCCAAGAGCCTTGGCAAAGACGAATTGCAGCTAAAATGAACGCCGTCTGCAGTCCCATCAGTTATCCTTATCCTAGCATAGTGAGTGAAACAAAGTGCATGCGTAGGTACTAGTGTTATATGTATGTAAAAATTCAACTGCATTCGCGCGGCACTTATCAATCAACTACAAAATGCCTTTTGACGATGAGTTGTATTGTTGCCACTACTAATTAATTAATGTAATTACGTGCCACTTGCTATAAATGAGCTGGAAAACGCATGCAATCAAGTATGAACTGGCATGCGTCCCCTGAACGGCGCACGACGCCCGCGGTCCGTGGGAGCGACAAAACACTCGGACGCGAGTAATGTTGACAACGGCTAAAAATCTAGACCGGTGTCGTCTCTATGAACCTTTCTGTTGCCTAAAATTACGTTAGCCTTTCTACAGTAGTTTATTTGCTCACAGTTATTTCTGACGTTTACTAGGTAGAAATTTTGACGATCTGCTATGGGCTTTTCTGCGCTAGAGGTACATGATAAAAGATACAAGTTAATCATAGCGCAGCCTACCGGAAGATTTTCGCAAAAAAATCCTGTTCAACACATTCAGACGCAGTTGCGTAATAGCTCCATAGACGCTGCGGTTTTAAAGAAAATGTTTTTTTCTGATATAGCATATTTTATCCGGTTTGTGTTTAAGTGAAGGTGCGATTTTGGAATAACGAAAATTCAAATGATACGATTATTATATTTATTGCACACACCTCTCTGTGTATTGAATTGTCGCTGTTATAGTGAACGAAATGATCTGCGTTCTATTCGCGGTAATGGTTTGGTCCCCCCATTTGGCGAGCAGCTTTACGTTGTCGTTGTCAGACGCAGGTATTATTCAGGTAAAAAAAAACCCTTTGCTGACATTGCTATCAACTGCCTGTATGATATTGGTTTAGATTATTGTCTATATATTGTGCTTAGTAAAATCTTACCCTTTACTGTATTTGTTATCACTCTGGCGAGAGGGTCTTTCGACTATCTCACTTGACTAACTAACTTTGAACATGTTAAAATTCGAATGTTGAAAACTTTTTAACATATTCCTCCATCATCAAAACCATGTACCGCATACGTTTGGCTATCTGATTGAAAGGGCTGGCAAATCGATGGTTGGAATCCACCAATACGCATCTACTTATGCCTGCCTATCTGTCACTGAAGCAAGATGATGCTATCTTATTTGATTGCTTTTTCCGAAGTTCAAACCTCACCGATACCTGTATACTGAGCAATAATAATATATATAACAGATAATAAATATTATCTGTATTGCCTAGACAACAATAACCATTTGTCCTTACGAGTAAAAGCATTCGATACTGCGCAGTCGATCATGGCAGGTGCCTGCATCTTTCTTATGTAGTTATCGATTCATTTTACAACAATTACTTTAAAAGAACGCGAGACTTGGGTACTTCCAGACTGTTTTCCTCACGGCACATATAACGTGTACTGAAGGTTAGGTATTAGTCCCACTTGGACACCACGATCATTGTCAGGTTTTGTCTCGAGACAGTCATGCGGCTGAACGCTTACATGAAGCAGACGATCTTCGTAGAATATCAAACTCCAGTAAGTACTAACATTGTATAGTGTTAGTCGATCAATGACTGTTCAAGTATTTGGACTCTTTATCGTGGTCTCCAATGCACCGTACAGGTGCAAATCTAAATTAAACAATTTCAGAATACTGATACTTTTACCCTATTCAAATTGAAACGTTTATACGCCTCTAATCAAATGCACATTATCATTATGGTGTCGTGAGTATTATTTCTTTGTCCCTTTTGGCGCTCGTTTTAGCGGTCGACCGCTTATTCGACTACGTTCGCGCGCGTTACGCCGTCCGTTTCTACCGTCACCGTAAAAAGTCATAACCACACGGGCAATTCCGATTTTCATGTAGCGAACAAAATAAAAACAATGCAGATCTATACAAACATAACTTTTCTCTCTCTCTCTCTCTCTCTCTATATATATATATATATATGTCTTTCCAGTGCCGTCACCAAAACAGAAGTGGCGCGCGGATAGAAAATCAAAGACGCCTACGCCTTCAATTCCGTCGATGCTTAGCTGCTACGTAGGGCTAAAACATACACAGTGAATAGCATTAATGCGGGGTGTTTGACAATCGTTGCCGAGTGCCAATTCAGGCCTATTTTGATAAAATGTCTATTGTCCTGTATGTCGTTTAGTACCCTGATAGGCCGCTGCCAAATAGCGGCTAAAGAATAAAAGAAAAAAGGATTTAGGTATTGTAGGTCGAATTGTTTTGAAAACTAACTTCGCGAAAGTTTACTAAAATGAAATGATAGAAGGGCCAATATGAAAGGGCTGATACATGGTCGTTATATTGCACGTATAAGCTAAATCATACCACGCTCGTTTCAAAGCAATGGCTGTAACGTTAAGTCTTTGTTCGACACTGAATTTGTACCCTTTCTTTATTCTCTATTCAGTCAGACTCATCCGGTCGTGTTTTTTTCACAACAACTTAGCCTATTCGATCGAAATCGTTGGCAGAATAGGTTGAAATGGAACAGAACGTGCGTGTTGTCACCTTGACAAGTTAGTTGATGCTTCAGAAGATACAAACGACAAGCGGTTTTTCTTACTATTAATGAATTAATACGTACTACGCGATTCTTACAACCGCCAATGGGTCAACTCACGAGATATTGCCATATGTAAGCTCGTACTCATAAGCCGAGAGCCTGTTAGCGATCGACATATCTACCCAGGCCTTTTTCAGTCAAAATCAATATGCACGTTAGCATGTATAACGCGATAGTAACGTCAATACAATATATGAAACAAAAAGGAAGCGGGCCTGATTTTGCTTCATCGTCCGGCTCAGCCGCCCCAAATATCTTTATACACAAATGCAGTTTTTGAAACTTACCCGTTCCGTTTGAAAGTTAATGGAAATTGAGAAAAATTTGTTTTTGTCTCCTCATTACAAATTTTTCAATGTGTGTGTTTAATCTTAAATTCGTTCTACGACAAATATGCTTCTGGCTCAGGTTGGCTATTATATTTGTTATTATTATATGCATGTTGTGTCTAAGCAAACTAGAGTTACGTGTACTTATCTAGTATACATTGCACACAGGTAGTAACTTTTTATGGGTCGTCGAATCTCCAAAGTATTAATTTTTTTCTGCTAGCATTGGCTATGCTACTGTTACTTCTGATCGAGCTAACAAAAACAGAAGGGCGCGCGGCCATGCGTGCAGCCCGCGAAGAGCGGCGCGTCAATCAAACGACAAACTATAGTTCTAGCTGACAAAAAACGTACTACTACTACTACTACTACAACAACGACTGGTAATAGCAGCACTCGAATCAAGTTAATTTTCCATTAGCAAGGTCGACAGACAGGCGTTTCATAGGAGAAGGCGAAAAATGTAGTGGTTGAAAAGTAGCAATCTCCAATCGAAGATGGCCACATCCGGTTATCTTCAGTTCCTCTTCTATGTAATTCCCTTTTTTTTACACAATTCCTGCGCTATAATTATTGAGCTACTGTAACTTTGAGTTCTGGAAAAAAATGTTTGGACATGTTTTGTTCTTTCCCATCAGAATACAGGGTAAATTAACGGTATACTTTTTGTACAGTCTTTTCTAATGGACGATACACCTAAATGCACGCTAATCGTGCAAGGTTTGTCGTTATTGTGCATTCTTGCGATATAGAAACATTGTACATCTTTTTTCTTCTTTAGCTAAGGGTCGTCTTCTAAGCACAGTACTTGTGAAGGCGTGCACAGTCGTGTAAAATATCTTTCCTTTGAGCTGAGATAGGATCAGGAACTCTTTTCCTGAAAAATGCGTTTCTGGACTATTTATCGTGTGTCATCAATGGGAGTCAGAGGAATCTTCAAACAGATTTTAACTCGCGCTCACTACACCGTTTAGAGTACCATAACATGCGATTTGGTGATAATTTATTTTCGAAGGCACGCTTATTTAGTTTACTATTATGCTCTACAAATGCTATAAGAAAGCGTTAACGTAGTAGCACTATAAAATGTTACGTTTCGGTACATATATGTATATATTTTATAATAAGCAATTGATGTTTCTGACTGAATTTTAGCGTGATGAAGCGTTCATCCTTGCGGAGTTATTCGCGGCAGTGGAAGAGGGAAATCTCGCGGAGTTAGAGGACCTTTTCGCTGAACCCGGTGTAGACCCCAATATGAACAATAAGGTATGTCATGTAGTACTTCAGTATGTCGCGACGCGAGAATGTTATCGCCTTCAAAACAGAGTGCAATATAAACTTCCGCAAGGTAGCTGCGACTAGCGATGCGCCGAAAACTTTAATATTGTTAACCTAAACGCCCTGATGACGCTACTTCAGAACTTTTGCGGTGTTTCGCTCGGCAAGGACAATATGGGGCGTGGAACGTAGGTAATGCGGAAAAATTGATCTGCTGCTTTTATCTACTGTAGTCTCCCCTAACAAAAGCATCTTAGACGTTCGTTTACAATAGATGTAGACAAATGTGACAAGATGTTACAATAGACAAATTCGTCAGTCCAAAAAACGTTTGAGGACCATGAGTCGGCTTACATGTTCGTAATTATATCATTCACTCTTTTCAGATGTACTAGGTGTTCTACAACAACGTAATTTGCAGTAAAGTATCTTAGGTCTCCCCAATTGCTTGCTCTTATTGAAATTTTGCGCGGGCTAGCATCGTCGACGATGTTAACCATTCTTCAATAACGGGCAATTCATGACAAATCTCTTTCTAAACGAAGCTTGCGGATGACACGTCACAATAAGACAATAACAAACGAACGAACATTAAGCCTAAACGGATTGGCCGGATTGGATTTTACGTACTCAACTAGTAGCCTTTCCTATTCGCAGGTTTACGTTGGCGGAGTCGAGGCGGCTGCCTTTAGAATCACTGATAACTGGTTTAGAAGTTCAGTTTACTAAATCGATTAAGTTACAGTAGTTATTGTCATGGTAGCACGGTTCTATTTATTGTTAATGTCATCAGCAGATCTCACTCTGCATCTACTAGCGTTCAGCGATCTTGAAATCGTGTTTGCTTCAATATCTGCTGCATCATGATTGCCGCAAGCCAGCAGACATTTCCAGATTGTAATGCTACATCGGGTGAAGCGTGTTTGTGTAGCAGAAGTATTAGAGTTCAATGGCACGAGCCAGCGGTAGTCGCTAGAACTGGCGTCAGCAGCTATATTTTCAACGTTTCCAATAAGCAATCGACCTTTGTTCCCCTGCGGCCTACCTCTGACACGTTTGCTCGTTGGCAAATTGCGTAGCTAACAGTACAAGCCGTAACGATGCAGTCTTACTTGTTTTGCTTTCCGATGATATCTGCATCGCTACCCTCATAACGTAATTGCACGAAACGTAGTTGACGGTCTAAATGGCTGAGTAACTTGTGTTCAACTAGGTAACTTGATCATGAAAAACATAGATCTCACATCGAAAATATGAAAATGAGCAACTGTTTGTGGAGACAAAGGGATATCGGAACAACTACATTGAAAGATACAACGAACTTTTGCTTTCATAGCTACATACGCAATATCCATATGCTGTAGGCATTTTAGGAAAATCAATGTACGATATATTGTAGCCTTGAGTAACTACGGAACACTTAACGCACGGAAGCTGTGATAGTAATTTTCGGTACAGATTTGTTAATGATTTGTACCACAATGCAGGTCGAAGCTTTGCATGAAGGCAGGACGACGTATTTTAGAAACCGTCAATGTATTATTGGTATGCTTTTGATATTGTTCTATACTGGTAAACTTGTTCCCCAGGCACTTAGTGCAGAGAGCAATGGACAAATTGGACCATCCATTTGTCTTTGAACATCTTCTAAATAGTTCACCCTATGGACCATGTTTTATATAACCCAACAGTGGACAACTAGCAGCTAGCAGAAGAAGAACAACCATTAGTTTTATTATAACTGGTCGCTATCTTAGCTACGTTATATTTTAACATTTTTTTCAATAATTAAATCCTATTTTTTGCGCCACGTATTTACTCGGCTGTACGCGGCTACAGGTGTAATCTTACTCTTCGTAATTATAACCGATTAGGATTTTTCAGGATCATATTAACTGATGCATTGTCCTTCTAAACTTACTTACAGCATGGGGAGACTGTTGCGCATATCGCTGCGGGAGCAGGCCGTCTTGATGTTTTGCGCTTTCTAGAGACACGTGGGGCCAATTTCGATGTGGCTGATTCGGTAAGCGCAATATTCTTGACATAATATACTAGGACCCATACATGTCCTTGCTGCATTTGATAGCAATGTTCACTAGACGAGAACATTCTATTCATGTTTCTAATAGCTCTTACGGATAGTTTTTTTTCAGTATTGACTATCAAAATAAGTTTAGTATATAGCATTTTTTCGAAGAATGAGACCAGCAACTTAATACCAATTTCAGCATGGTGACAGTGCTATGTACTGGGCTGCCCGGCAAGGGCACACCGACGCTATTCAGTACCTGTGGGAACAGAAAGCTAAGGTCAACACCCATAACAAGGTAAAAGGCCCACGGGTATCGCTTCTCATTTTCGCCGCGGTAGACTGAGACTTTTAGCTTCGAATAGTAAACTATACATAATGGTAATCAGCAATGATCTGGGTTTTCTTCTACGGGAGGTCCTGTTCCCCTGGAGGTATGTTCAAGATAGTAGATCACTTTTGCGTGTTCTTTACCTATTGAGAACTCGTGATTTTCATCGATTGTAACTGTTGGCTTGGTGGGAAGTGACAGCTCAGAAGTGGACTGTTATCTAAATAACGGCGCTATTGATTTTCTCGAGGCAAAATTCATATATATATAGATATAACATGTAATGGCGAGCAGATTAATAAACGATTGATTGGCATCTGTGCGTGCACGGTAATGTCATTATCTGTATTGTTTTCGTAGCAAGGCGAATATCCTTTGCATGTAGCAGCCCGCTACGGCCATAGAGCAGCTGTTAAACTTCTCTGCTCTCTGGGAGCTAACATCAATAACGTCGATGAGGTACGTAACACTTTATTAATAAAATTAAATATTTATTGCTCTGCTATAATTGTGATTGGAGTTGCCGGTAGTTCGATCGATACGTCGTAAGCGGCAAAAAGCAATTTGCGAATTCATTCAACTAATTGACGCTCATTTGCCCTTAACGAATAAATTAAACAAAAGTCTACTAAGGTAATAAACAAAATACTTATAAATGTTGATTTGACACAAGCGTACTTTTAATTTATCTCGAGCACAGCGCTGGCGACCAAGCTCGCTCAGAAGGCGTAGTGGACTTCGGCTCACTCCGTCTGTAACGAAAGACCACACTTATAGAAAAATATTCAAAACATTCTATTGAGATCGTAATATATGATCACTGCCTTTCGATGGTGCTTTTCAGCACGGTGATACCGCGTTACATATTGCCGCCTGGCATGACTTTCCAGCTATTATGTACGTGCTTTGTCAAGCTGGTGCACTTACCCACCTTCGGAATAAGGTACGTATTGTTATGGCTATTTCGGTCACGCTTCATTTGGCTGGCACGAGATTTGTTCAGTTTTGTTTATTAAAAACTATATAAGGATACGAGGACTGCTCTTTTGGCGCGTCACAGTTATATCGGGAGGTCCTGCTTTTTTGTCGCCCTGCTATCCAATCCGAGATTGCGTCGTCTTGATCTATTAGAGCCTCTTGTTATTTCATGAAATGACAATTATTTTTGACTAGGTCAGATATCTTGCATCTGTAGGATGTTACTACATACGCTTTCCTTGTACTCTCTATTTTTATCATCTTAGTAGCGTATAGGCTATTGTTCATATTTGTCTACGATGATGACATTGTCTTTACCCCATACGTCGAATAATCATATAAATCGAAACGAGTGGCTACATAACAAGTGACAAAGGCAACGAAAGGATCTGGCAAAGAATCGCGGCATCTGCCCTGAGATTGAGACGCTTAGAGAATCGAGAGCCGGCTGGCTGTGTCAGACAATTTATTCGTCGAATCGATTTGATCAGTCGCGTTTAGCAATCCTGCGTCCTACTACAACATGATAAGGACAATCTTTGATTCGAAACAACTCTAGCGTGCAATTTCTCCGAACAAATCAGACCATTGCGCGCTTGTCGACGCCACTTGCTCGTGTTGACGCTATGTTACGCAGCGTCTCTTCGTACAGCGGACACGTTGAGGGACGATAATGTCTGTCGTATTAGTGCGCCATACACACAAGTTAATTGGCTATCCAAAATCCGCCATAGTAGACACTTTGACAATTGAGCTTTTAAGTTTATGAGCCGCCTATCCAGGTCTTCGACCTATAAAGCAGTTTTGGGTTGTGAACATAACGAGTCGTAATAAATATGCAGAATACGACATATGCATATTTTAGGTTTATTGTTTGTTTTTTTTTCTGGAAAAAAAATAATACTGATTTTCTTATCTTGCTAGTCTTTTGGACCTAAAAAAACAGAGCCTGTACATCGAGGAAATTTTTGGGCCGCTTTTTTGCAGGCTTAAAATGAATGTGCATTAAACATCATCTGTCACACTCAGTTGTTGGTAAGTTTAACCAGAAGTTAATCCAAGTCTCCTCCGGTTCTATTTTTTCTTCATAGGAAGGCGAGACAGCGTTGCATGCTGCAGCATCTCGAGGTCATACTGAATCGGTGCGCTGTCTACTAGAAGCTGGTGCGGAACTAGAGCTTCTAGACAAGCACGCATGTTCTGCGCTGCATCTTGCCCTGCGCAGGCATCATGTACCTGTGGCGCTTGTCCTTCTCCAGGCAGGATGCCCCAACGATGTCCTCGATAATGTGAGAAGTTAATAAGATGGTGTATGCTTGCAAACTGGTACAGCCGATTGTTTTGTCGGCAGAGCTTGCTGGTCATGTTGTAATCCATCAGATGGCACCAATTGAAATAACGAGAGATGGACTTATTAAAATCCTGAACAAAACCATCGGCGCAGTGGTGCAATATTAGAACAGTAGTTAAAGAGTAATAATGCAACATTATTGATTCAACGGACGAAGTCTGTGCGTTATGTACATCACTTTTAATAAGTTGTCGCTCTTGATCGTCCGTTATTATGTAGCACGGAGATGCTCCAATTCATGTAGCATGTCGGGATGGCCTACTCAGCCTTGTGGAATCTTTATGCGCCCTCGGGTGCAACATCGACGTGCCAAATAAGGTTCGTGATTTTATCAAGAAAACTATGTTACATGTGGCTTGTTTCTCATAAATAGTAGTCATGATCTCAGAAGAGAATGCCAACGTCTCTCACAACGGTCAGTGCGCTTTTTTGTGTGCGTAAGTGGTAATTTTTCGTTCAGCTCATTTTCACTAATATCTTTAGGTTTGTCATTAAACGGATTAGGTGAGCCCATAATAATAATAAAGCCTTTAGGGTGATAAAATAGATAATAAAACGCATCAATAATTTAAATTATAGGCGGGACTGTACCCAATTCATCTGGCAGCCAAAAATGGTTACGATGAAATCGTTCGTTGTCTCCTGCTAGCAGGCTGTCGTGTAGATGCAAAGAATCGCGATGGAGTTCCCGCTGAGATTATTGCGTTAGCACAGGGTCATACGCACATAGGTGAGGCCTTATTTTTGACGTGTCGTTGCATTGTTGCTATGACGTTTGCAGGTATAAACGTCACTTTCTGTCAGTTGTCTGCTACTACTACCACGTCGTTTTATCTCTTAGAAATAAATAATCTGGTTGCTTGTATACCAAAGAAGCTGAAAGGTTAGATATAAGCACATATGGTTTGAGCTATATATCGTGCATAGTTTACGACCCGCCGGAAACAACTGGCGAAATTGATAGACGAAAATCAATCAGCTAGTAAGTGCTATGATGCCCCGTTTGTCGAGTAACCTATGCAGTAGGCGATCTTGACCTTGAGGCGGACAAGACAGGCCCGTTTAATCATGCCTTGTTCATTGTTGGTTTGACTCTGTATAATGTGTAATTTAATTCAGTAACTTGCTTTCGTAGGGGAGCTACTAGCTCGTTTGAAGAACGACGCACTCAGGCAGGACTTTGTCGAACAGATAAAGATAAATGGCCAGCAGCTGGCTCGTATTAAAGTGAAACTTCTTGGACCAACTGGAGTTGGTAAAAGTGCACTCGTAGATTCTCTCAAATGTGGCTACTTCAGTAGCTGGTTCCGGACGAGGTCATCACCACCAGCTAAAGCAAATCCGACCAACCAACAGGTGCGCATGATATCCCACGTACTACACTGGCTCAAACGTACTCATGTTGGCCCATCTCTCTGATTGAACTTGGCTACTCTAAATAAGTAAATAAGAAAGCTTCAAGCATGTCACAATTTTTATTCTAAGTTGGTGCATGTTCGTTGTTTGCTACAACAGATATCACATTCAGCCGTTCAGGGTACCGGCAGCGTTGGAAGTAGCATAAACAGCAAGTCAAAAAGCAGCCGTAAGCTTATTCGTTTTTGAAATACATAATTATATTACAGATAGTTGCATCGATTATACTCAGACCAAAGACGATAATGTATTGGGTTTAATGTAATATGCTTGTTCATAGGGTATGCCAATACCCCTATTCATTGTCGAAAATGTCCACATAGTGCTCATACCATTCCATGTAGATTACTGACTTACGTACGGTCGTATTGTTTCTTGCTTTTGTATCTTTAATAGTTATTTCCGGTGGAAACTCGTCTCGCGCGTCGACACCCGAAGATATGCTTTGTGAGGTATGCCTATTCAAAGCGTAATTGTAACATGTGCACACGGATGGGGAATGTATATGATATTTTGGTCAAAGCGATATCGGCTTGCCTAGTAAGCATAGGCATAAGGAGAGTAACCAACTAAGAATAAACTGATACATTCCACCCTATTGCGTTAAGCCTTCATCTATGGAATTGATATACTGTACCTTGTTTCAGGTCGACTCGGAAAACAATTTAAAGAATGTAGGCCTATCTGCTGCGGTGGGCGCGGATTGGGCGGATTCTGCAGGTTCGCAGAGCCAGCAAAGGAAACTCGGTGGATCTGAGTTAGACGTGTTTGAAGGGACGGTCGGACCATCTCCGAGTTATACACGTGGTATTGAAATACATCAGGTAGGATGAATATAAACGCACTTCATTTGGCGACAAATTAGTGACATCTACGCGAACACTTGTGTCACACTGTTAAATTATAAGATCTTATATTACCGTAGCGATCCTTGAATTGAAGTGTCTACCACTTACCAGTTATTACCACTTGAATTATTGTCCATTTTCTCCAGAATTCTATTTAAGTCTAGATTATCTTCCATAATTTTGACGAGATAGTTCAGAACGTTTCTTTTGTGTGTGTTCGTTAGACCGCTATATCTGGGGTAGGTGATGTTAGCCTTTGGGACTTTTCCGGACAAGAAGGTTATCTCCTCACATATGACCATTTCGTGGGTAAGTAACGATCTGCTCGCACGAAGAACGATTCGCTCAAATATTGCTGATTGTTTTCATCTTTAACAAGAGCATACATTCGTTAATCGTGTGCTAAATTTGGAACACCACAGGGAACCCGTATAGTGTACACCTGTTGTGCACCCGTCTGACCGATCCTCTGGATGTGCAGATACGGCAGTTGAGTTTTTGGTTGATGTGGTTACAAGGACAGGCGCCGCCGGAAGAGCCTTTAGCAATGGGAGGTAATAAGAGTTAATTTTCTAATAGCAAGCTGGGTAAGTGACAAAATGCGTCATCGGTTTAAAACAATGCCTGTGTTTGAGCCATCATCACTATCTTTCCCAAGGACAAAAAGCTTCGCTTTTTTACATTTGCAAACGTCTGTACCGTTCACAAGCATATGAGTGCTGTCCGCAGTAGTCTATTTGTAACGGTTAAAAGCGCATGACAGAGGTAGAGTCCTGCGCAATTCAGAGTTTAGATAGACACAATAGCTTTGTAAAAAGTGATGGAGGATTTAACAGAAGGAAATTTTTACCGCATCCTGACACTTTTGCATACGAAGCTTTTCCTGAACGATGAAAAGCTTTTACAATTAATGTGAGTGTACATTTTTGTTTTACTCTTGAACCAGGTAAATCTAGTCGACCCCTCCAGGTAGCTTTGGTAGCAACTCATGCCGACCAGATCTCTTCACAAAAGGATGCCGAGAACCTCGCTCAACATGTGGCGGATCAGCTGCAGGCAAAATTTGGCCATGTATTTGACATTCACGAGCAGGTTAATCATTCTACGATTTCAGGGGATTCAAAAATTAATGAGTAATAAGTAGCATGAGTGTTCTTACTGGACACTTTAATAAATTAGTTGTTCTTATTTTAAATTCTGTCTAATATGTATCCATTCGAAGTTAAGAATCCAGATCGAGGAACTGTGGCTATATGTGTACTGTAAAAAATAAATATATTTCCAAATTATCGACTATTCACAGGTCTTTGTCCTTGACGCGCACTCAGTTTCTTCAGCAGGTCTAAAAAGCCTAAAAGGCTATCTGTTATCGATGAGAACATCAATACTTCAACAGCTACCCCGATCGACAGGTTAGTAACTAAATAAAGTTCCCTTTCCAAAATAATAAATAAATTGAAACGAAAGAAAACAGTCTGTTCGGCGGATATTGCGATTCACAGCATAAACGTCGAAGGGTTGTATGCTTAAATAATGAATTACCGTGAAAGAGCAGGATCGTGGGTCGACGGAGGCACAAGGTCGTTTCTAGAATGAACTCGTCTACTTGATCTTTAATATAAACTTAATTTCTATATTACGATATAAAATTCTGCCTAGAGCTGCAGTCATTAGTCTGGCGATTACTATGGTAAATTGATTTATTTTATCTTATCTGCTGTGTATCCTCAATATGTTGCTTTCTCTTTATTTCAACTTAGGTCTTTTGGAAGTTATGTTGGGGCAACTGGCTAAATGGCGAAGTGCATCTCCATCGTTCCCTGTACTTACCTGGGATCAGTTTCGAGACATGGTAATATTCTAACAAAGCTAAGCAAATTGAAAAGTTTTTCTTGAGTTTATGTGAAAGTTAAAAAGCGTCCATCCTTCTACAAAATAGAGTATAATGGTTAGACGATCGCCTGTCAGTGTATACAATAGAAACCGTTTACCCCCGTTTACGTGTTAAAGTGATCAACAGCAGAAGGAACAGGGCCTGCTTTAAGAATTAATTCATCGGAATTTACCTAACTTTAATTTGAGTTGAAATGTTCTTTAGAATCATATTGCCTACATGATAAAATCGGATGGTATTCGGGAGATCTGCTACAGCTTTTTATTGTATTGTTTGTAATGTAGGTGAGGCTACAGATTAATCCTCTGGTTGGCGAAGAACATTTGAAAGACCTCGTACTTCAATTGACATTAATAGGTGAAGTCGTATATAGTCCTTCGGATACCGAAACAGATATGGTCGTGCTAACTCCGCACTGGCTCGGATCAGAGGTTATAGGTAAGGCTGAGATTCAGCTACCAATTTTTCTCTTCAAGAATTAATGCGAACATCATAAATAAACTTTCTTTTTCCGAAATGCAAATGCGAACATATGTTTACTAAAGATAGGGATGTTTGTAGGCGATGTATTGGCCTATGACGAAATAGAACGTGCTCGTCCAACAGGCTGTTTCTCACCGGAAGCTTTCCAGCTACTTTGTCCTGAGGCCGATGCTGTTGATCTCCTCCAGGTATGTCAAAAGTTCGAAACAAAGTACCGAGTGTTATTGAAGAAGCAAATATTATTATGATTCTAAAGGACGTTTTAGTCTCATAATTTTTTAATGCCCACTTAAAATTTCACAGCAGCTGTATTCATCCGACAGTCTTGCTAACTTTGATGCAGCATCCAAAGCAGTATCATTCAAGCCAACCTAAGCAGTCATCTATAAGAGCGCTCCTGTATTCGATGCTAGGTCATCAGGGGGCTATCAAAGTAGGAACGGCGCCTGCTACATTCTTCGGCAAACGCAGCTCAAAATTATGTCGGGGGAAGGAAGAAAGGGGCGGCGCACTGCGGGGCCGGTTAGCATAGATGAACGTCTTTGGGATGAGACGAAGCTGTCAATGTTAGTGGATGCATTGACGCATCTCTAACTTCCGAGATTTCAGAAAGACTGCTAGTGAAATAGACAGCCATCGTCCCTTTAGGGCTAACGTGGTAGATGTTAAATTAGGGGAATCGACAATTTCCCTTCAATTTCAACCAACATGCCCTGGAACTCACACCAGGAGAACACTGCGTCAAGCCCGTCTTATTTAGTGCAGCGCCAGATGAAAGAAGTGCTCGGAAAGAATCCGTTATGTGGCTACGTCAGGATTTAGAGCCTGATCAATGAAAGTTTTCATTGTAAGGTCGATCGTAAGGTTGCCATTTCTGCGAACACTACAGGTTTATTTCGCGAGAGGATAGGACTCTCAGATATGAAAAAAACAAGAAGTTGCCGAGGCCATGCAGTGAGCTCCAAATAAAGTTGTATGTTTTAATAGATGCGAACCCCTAGATATGTTACTGCTGATAGCTACTGCTTAAGTGAGTAAAAAAAAAGCCATTGGTTTTACGTTCTAGGTTAATTCAATCCACATGCATTTTATTATGCATACCGATTAACTATAAAATATATCTTGTTTTTATGGTATCGTTGTCATCCGTCTAGGTCCTTGAGAATCTCAAGCTGTGCACACAATACGACAACGCTGGAGAGGTTCGTATGAAAACAAATAAGTACAGTTAAAAAAATATATATATACCCATATATATTCAATTTTGTGACGCCTTATAATAACTTTAAAGGTGGAGTATGAGTTTCCCTGCTACTTTCGAGGAAGTGGTGCAATTCCCATGGATGGATCGCTCGCTTCCGATACTTGCAATTCCGGAAGTGTATGGGATTTACATAGAGAACATATCGTGTCATCAATGGGAACGTATCGAACCATGCGCAGCGGGGCTAATGCTAACTTCACAGAGGCCAATAGCAGTAATAAAGAATTCCGAGTGCAACTTGGTGTACACATCGTACCCTTCGATGATTTCTCACGAATCCTGCCGACGTTATTTCCGCGGATACAAGTATGAACAGATACAGAACATTTTCTACTGAAAATTAACTAGCTATTAACTAATTTATTAATAACGATTACGAATTTTGTTAAGTTCTATTAAATATTAAACCTCTAAACATTGCACCTTTTGCTCATAGTCATAGTAAGTCCAATACTTATTGAGCAGGTCCATCTACGACGGATGGCCTTGATCAATGCAGGCAATGGTACGGAGCTACTTCAGTGGCGATACGGAAGCAGGTAACAACAATACGCACGCTATTCTAGCTTATATTACATAGCCGATACGTACGATAACACGTGGCGACGTATGACCGAACACAGCTATTGTATCAGCTAGAATAAAAAAAAACACGCTTACTGATTATTTTCCGCTGCATGTTTAAATGCAGATTTAAATGATAAAGTTACAGATCATATGTACGTTGAGGGTACTCGATTCTTTGTAGATACGTGAATGAAATGCTGGAAGGGGTCGTGTTACTTGAACGGAGCCGAGACGCGTTGGAAGTAAAAGTTCGGGGCCCTGCTGACACCCACACAAACTGGTACGGAAGTTGTTGCTGTTTTGCAATGTCATAATTGAAATTTGATTAATGTCTAATCTTATTGAGAACTCGTTATGACCAACTGACGAAACCGGTAACGCTTATACTGGATATTTCAGTTTTTACTTCATGGAGGAGCTGTTGACTGTCATTGATGATGTTCTTTTGGAGGTGAGTCTATCTCGTTCAACACTCGCACCGTGATCTAAAATTTATTGCGTGTTTACGCGATTCAAAGCGCCTGTTCACGCTGAGCATGACTTTGGTATAGTGCTATTTTTGGTTGGTACTGAGAAAATTCGATCGTTTTAAATTTTTATTGAAAATCTTAAAACACATCAAATCAAATACAGGAGCTTATTTTTTTTTAATAAAACAATCAAAACACAATCGATCATTTTGCTCAGAATACCTTATCTTTTTTCTTCTTTTAACTCGTCAAGGTATGTCCGGGCATCGCATTTCAGCGAAATCTTTTATCAATTGAAGATCTAAAAAACGGAGTACTTCATGCTCATGCATACCCTGCGACGCAGGTTAGTGATCTTTCTTTGCTCTGCTCATTACCCATTAATGAACTCTAGAAATGAATTTAACAATAACATATAACAGGAAGTACACTTGAATTAGATATTGTTTCTATCTAAAGAGGACATCGTTTCCCACTTCAACGGTCGTACCCGCACCAGTTTAATTCCTCACGCAATATTTCTTTGCCAACTGTCATTGGTTAGGTCATGAGAGCTATGCTAACAGAAGGACTAAAAGCGACCGTGGAGCACCCTGACACAAAAAAAAAGGAGCTGATCACTGATCTCCTAGGTTGCGAAAGGGTCGGAACTGCATTTGTGCCAGGTAATCAATGACCTGAAATAAAGAGCCATTGCACAACAGGTTTCTTTGCTATAGCTTGATATTCATCAAAAGGTGAGCAATGTCTGCTTACTGATTCTTGTTTGCCTATCTAATGGACATTACTTTATTCATTGAAATGGTGTTAAATCTTCTATTCTGCTAAAGTTCTTTCTTTGGAATCACTGAAAAAGTCGTTTCCGACTCACGGTTTTGCCGATTGACACTTATTGAAATAACTTGTTTCAAGGTCCATCGGTACACTCTTCGCAACTGTCTGTCTTGACACGGCAGAAGTTAGGAGCAGCACTGGATCCGCCAGAGAGGTTAGGACGAGACTGGTGCCTACTTGCTGTTCAGTTAGGATGTGCGGACATTTTGCCCAGGTAATTTAATTACCTGGACTGAGTTTCAGGTCCCATGATATGCTTCTCTCTTGTAGTCAAGGTCTACCATGTTCAAAAATAGGTTAGTGGATTATCGCTGCGGCTACACCTTCTTCGTGGGTGGAACTTAGGGAGACCCAATGAATGAATAATCTGTCACCTTAACGGGATGACTTTAGTGTCGTTGTTTGCTTCTGTATCATCACATAATACAATGATGCCCGGCGCTGTACGTAGTCATCATCACCTTTATTGTCTTACTAATATGGTTCGTTTGCTTGCATTTTTACATTTCTTTTATGGGTTGAATATAACAGAATAGATTGCACAGGATCAAAGGAAGATGAGCGCCCTTTTATGAAACAAACGTCCCCGCACGAACTTTCGGATCAGGGTAACAATCAATTTACTTTTTTCCTATATGACTTCAAACCAAATTTGATAGTTGAATTACTTAGATAGGTTACCTTCGGAGAGTGAGCAAGAGATAATGGTCGCCTCTGTGCTGGTTAATAGTCCTTTGATTTATACGTTGAAGCGCTTGCTTTTTACGCATTGTATAACTACCCAAGAATATTAACTTGTGCTGGTCTAGCTGTTTGAACGAAGCACAATATATCCTACACGACTTAGATATTTCTAGGCAAGTTTTCTACAAAAGGCTTATATATAACTATCTGATATTATTACAGATTTACGAGTTGGCAGTGCAAACAATTCACCGATTGCAAATGTGTTGCATCATTGGTCGCGGGTAAGAGAAGTCACTTATTGGCAATTGCAGTTGAAAGCCCAGAGGTCATTTTCGACAGGGCGACAACCAGTAGGAAGGGTACTTCATGGGCTACATCTTTGTACCCCTCGGTCACTATAAGAAACAGTTTTAGTTGAAGAACTCCTGCGTGATTATCATGTCAAAGACTGGTGTCGTCAAAGCGAACCTGCAGGATGACATAATGAAAATGAAAAAATCTTATACGCTGCTCGGAGTGCATAAGTTCCTTATGTATTAAGTACGATGCACAAAACTGTATAGACTTGTGCCGTGCGTTTTAAACGTTGCTGATTTAGCTGAAGTGCGCTATTTCAAAACGCAAAATTTCACTTCACGGAACTCGGAATCGTAACTCTATCTACAAGATAGTTAAATTAACTCGCATTGTTAACGGTAGCTATCTATGTGCATCTGCAGGTATCTCAGAGCAGTATTGGAGCACTTGCCACGGCTCTGCTTGAGCTGGGCCGTGAAGATGGCGCTGCCATTGTTTTGGGTACCTCCCCACTGTTGCAGATTGTCCCTCCGGCTACGGATGGGGCTCCCGGTCCACCAACAGCGTCGCTGGCTAACTCCAAACTAATACCCGAAAGCCATCCACAGAACAGTGGATTGGCTTTTAGCCAAGGGGGCCAATCGCCGCGTCGATCGCACCACGCTTCCGCTGCACTGTCAAGCGCGTCTAGCACAAACATGTCACGATGACTAAAAAGAAGCCAATTTTAACATTGTTTATTAACCAGCTAGCGTTCTAAGAAAAGGCCATATGAAAGCTCCCCATGTCCCGGACAATTCTTCAACAATTCTTATGGTTAGTACACTTATGATAACAATACCGCGTTCGGTGCTCGATGAGGAAGCTGAGGACTGTACTAATCAGGAACACGTGTATATATATATATATATATTTAGTAGCAACGATTGAATCAGTACGTTGGCAAAACTCGGACGGAAAACGGCAGTCAAGATAGTAGGACCAGATAAGACGTTTGGGCGCAGACTACGTCATTGAAGTATTTTCAATAATTTATAACAATCGTGGCTTTATTGGACATTTAATGGCGCGAACTAACTTTCCACGTTGCGAGGACGACGCCGTCGCCGTCGCCGCCGACGATGACTACTATAACGACTGATTCCAGGATTTCGAGAATTATATTATATTCCAGAATCCGAGAATCAGCTAAAATGGCTGCCAGTGAGGCGGAACATTCAAACACATTGTGCTCGCTATTCGGCCTAAAGTTGGACGGACGGTTATTATATTTTTCTATTTGCTTTTATTTGTGACAGTTTAACGATATATGGTTTTCTAAATAAATATGTATTATCCAATGGTGTTATATATCTATAATAATAACAACCCGAAAACGTTTACGTCGAAGAGTATTTAATCAAATATTGCGTTATGCGTAAATCCAAGCCGAGTGTCTCTAAACTCAGAACTCGTCTCGCAAATTTGTGGCCAAAAATAAAAACGGTCCACCTGTCTAAACAATCATCTTAACCTACTGCGAGATAAGCAAACCTTTATAAAATCCTAACAGTCAGTATTTTCAAGGATGAGATGAACTTTGTTACAGTCGTTACGTTAGTAGCAGACAAAGTTTATTTATTTAGCCTATTGCCAATACTGATTATTTCTAATTTATGTGAAAGAAGTGAAAATATTTGAAGCTTTGTTGTACTTATTTGTATGCCGTCGGTGTGTACACGTTGGTGATATATATATATATATATATATATATATGTATGTATATATATATATATATAAGGAAGATCTATTGAATCTCTGTTGTTTCCTTACTTCTATGGACAGCGTACCAACATTTGTGCATTATACACTCACAAAATTTCTATTCCGTGGACAACCTCACGTTTTCGTCGTTTGTTTACTACTGCCCCGTGAATCCTAAGTATCGTACGAATGTATGTCAGTGGGATCTAAAGTGAACTATATAAATACGTTGTTTACGATTTGGGACGGCATTTTGTGTGTTTCGTAATGTAGCGAAGAACAAAAATTACCGTTGCTTACTTAATGCCGCACAGAAAAGGCGTGCCGGAGTTACGCAGTACGTGCCATTGTATATTAGACAGATAGATTCTTAGTCTCCATAGAGGCCATAGTGAAACTAGAAGACGAACATACAATAGGTAATTAAGATCGAAATTTGTTTGTATCTACAAATAAAAAAAGGGTCAGTGAAAAAGATGCCGGTGAATCCAGATTGTGTGCAATCATCGACTGGGAGAGCTCTTGTAACAAATGTCATTTTTTAAAGGAACATTCAAACAAATACATTGTGTTGTCCTTTCATATAGCATGCCTCAACACGTTTTAACTAGCATAATATTTTTACCATAAAATTGTATTTTATTAAAATTTCGACTTGGTCATTTAGGTGGTGGTTTCTCCATTACTCCTAAGATTGTCCTGAGAGATGTAGGAACAGATAATATTTGTGACGCATGAGCTAACGAAGGCCCTAACGACTATCAACCACTGAATGCTATACGTACAGATAATTATGTTCTCTTGCGAATATATAAGTAAGTATTTCTGATTATAGTTCAGATCTATACTTTGCATAGAGAAAGTATATTTGAAAGTGGTGTAAACAATGCCACTTACGTTATGTTATACGTTAATATTGGCATTTGAAGCATAAGTTCATGAAATTCTACAGAGGTGACAGGTTTTCCCGAGTTTATGGAATATATATCTCTCTTACCCAGATGTCCTGTAGCACTCTTTTCCGTCAAGTACTTTGCCTTCGTAAAACGCATCTAAAATGGGTAATATTGTATTGACGTGTAAAATACAGCTTTGATCGAGACAAGTACAAATGTATCTCATAAAATGTTGATATTCATGCAGCTTAAGACCTGCACGAAATTTTTATAGGTCATAAAAGACAAACCCATAATAAATCGAATGTTGTAGAGTATCAGCTCCTTCTGAGCTGGTATTTCAGAGCAGGACACAAGCCCAGTTGAACTGTGTCGAGATCCTTGCCTCCTACTCGCTAACAATCTTTGGCACCCAAAAGCTCACACGAAAAATTGCACTGGAGGTGGTAGCATAACAGAAAAGAAAGCAAAACTTAGTCCCGTCATTAACCGCATTGAGGTCTTTAACTCACTCTAGCTGAAAGATTCAGGTACAATGTGCAATTTTTTTGGCATAGAGTCGAATAATAAGAGGATGTACAAAATAATATATTACCAGAAGTTTACTTACACATTGTAGCTAAATCTTAGGCGATGCAGTAATGAAAAATGTTCGTAAACTCTAGTTTAGCAGCGCAATGTCTGACGGCGAGTCTAAAGGACCAAAAAAAAAATGGTTTCGTCAAAAGGAATAGGTGAGCCACCCCTTTCAGTTCTTCAGAAACAGCTAGCGTGATGGCCTCTGCATAACACTAACGCTCAGCGTGTGTGGTAATTTTTGGGCCATATGATTAACTAGATGACATTACAAGAATAGTTTTTACCATATAAATGTGTAGGAATGATCCCTATCCTTTTAAAGCTCTGACTGTAGTTGTCAGGAAGGGACAAAGAGAGCATCAATCCGATCCTGTCGAAAGTTGTACTTGCGGAAGCAGCGCACGACGATGACTAACTGAATAGTTTCCTTCTTTTGAAAAAACAACTCCCTTAGATAATAAAGCTTTTTCACTTTCTCTACCAATGACGAGTCTCTTGCTGGTTTTCCTGCTCAACTTTTTGTGTGTTATGATGGGTCATCTTCCCAGGGGCGGCGACCCACGGGCCACACTCATGGCCTGATCAGCGACTCCACCCAGCCCGTTTACCGAGGGCACAACAAACGCATACGAGAAGTTCGTGTATATGTAGCGAGCATATTCGCTTAGTCCGAGCCACCCCACCGGGAGGTTGGGAGGGTCACTGAGGTGGGGATCTCGCTGTCGGCTACGATCAATATAATTGCACGCTAGCGAAAAATACTAGCGGTAGTAGCTATCGCCAAAAGGCTCTCTGCTTTCCTATAGAGGAAGTCGTCTCTCAGTCGCGATGATTCATACCGTTGATTTTGTTTCTTTAGTTTGCGGCTAAATTAAATTTGTGAGACCATTGACGATAATACCTTGTAGCAGATGGATTTGAAAGATCATTTTCAATCTTTCATTGAAGCTTCAGAGTGAATCGGTGAAATCGTTTATGAAAGAAAATTTATAAGTACGATTGAAGTAAATTATTTTCGCTCTTATTATTAGATGGAAACATTTCAGAATGGAGATTTTTAAAAGCGCGATCGAGGATTCTTAATTTTAATAAGAGTTCAAAAACGATCATCACATAAAACCTGTTCATTTTTTACATGAAAACATCAATATTATTAAATCAGGTAATTCAATTAAGTTCAAGTCAAGTTAAGGATAATGCAACATATCATGCTGTTGTCTCTTCTTTTAATTTTATATTTTCCTTGAAAGGTAACTAGTACTTAGCAAAAAAAGTGAATCTGATGTGCCAAAGTCATGCATGGTTGTCGTTCTACAGTAGGACACTTGATTCTCGACTTTACATTTAACTCTGACTTGATTAGTTATGTTTCAAGTTATATCACTAGACTGGTCGTAATGAGGTGTCATCTTTAAGTTCTGCATATCCAAAACAAATAGGGAAAATCGTTCCTTTTTGGGTAACCTAACTTTGTTGACCTGCGATTACAGTATTTTGGCTCATTATTATAATAGAACGTAGTCAGAGCCACATATATACAAGTATTAAGCAATCTTACGAGCATTTCTTTTGTATTTAGGCTCGAAACAAAGCTCTAGATAATTTGAATTATTAGAACGAATTACGTCTTTTTTTGACCTCGAAAAACCTATAGATTTCCGAATTTCGCATGCGAGTAAATAAAATAGATTTTTTTCAAAATCCAAAAATTCAAGTTGTTTGATAATTTATATAGACAAATTGGGTTGCCAATTGGAAAGAATGCCTGAATAATCTGTCCGGATTTATAGTAAGTTGTCGAAATAGACATAATCCTTGCAGACAGAACTTTTTTTTGTCAAGGCTATTATTTATAAGTGTCGATTCTAAAATTTTATCCATCTAATGATAGGAATCGGAATAATACTTACGCTAGTCGAACATTCCTACAGTTAACTGATGTTAAGGACAGAGCTCCTCAAGGCTGGTGAGTTTAGTGGCTTAACGGTTTTACTGTTGCCGCAGCAAATATCTATTGTACTATGGTCCGGACAGCGCATGCGTACGGATAACTTCGTACTTACAATAATTTCGTCCGCTTAACTTGTAACCATTTCAGCTTTTCGGTGGAACTATCTGGGCGTCTACGCACTTAAGCAGTTCAAAAAACAGTTAAACGAAGTTTCTCGTTGTTATAATGATTCGCCATATCGTAAATTTGGTCTTCGATTACAACGTTCATTAAACGTCCACGAAACGACTAATGTATGTATAGAAAATAATTTTTGCTGGAATGCAATCAAATACTGTCTAAATACCGTCGTGACCTGGTTGATTATGGGACACATTAGTGGGGCTGGGCAGTTGGGAATGGTTAGGCTAATTAAGGTCGTCCCCATTATAGCTTAGTGAGTAACGTACTTGCGTGCTAAACTTAGGTTCGAACCCGGGTATATACATATTTCGTTCCGTGCTCGGAGCCAGCCGTATGATGGAGTGCCTAATAACGATACCGGACATAAAACTGGAAATATAAGAGCCACTTAAACGGAGCGCGTCAAGCGAGGTGACGGTTGTTCTGGCCGGTAGAACATAAACGATTTGAGCAGTAAGGTTGATTTACTGGGATTGGTGCAATTAAATTTTTTAAGGCTTTTTGGCAACGTTTTCTATAGAAGCCCTTTGGATTCTATCCTATAGAGTGAGAACTCTATTTGGATGTGGGTAAATAAAAACGTTTTCGATAGAAGCCCTTTGAATTCTACTGTATAGAGTGAGAACTCTATTTTCAGAGAGTTTTTGTTCGTGTCTACATGACGTCCCTGAGACTACGCCAATTTAAACTCAAAGGTGTTTGTTTGAAAAGTAGATTGGGTCATACGTAGAAATGGAAGTAACCCAATTTTAACATGTACAGTTTTTCCTTTGAGTTAATCAGCTGCGAACGGGTTAAACGACTGCAGCTTCGGTCACTGAATCTCGATTAATATTTGGCGATAACGAGACAATAACTGTTCCATCATTGAATAAAATGAACACAGTTATCGATGGTTTCAAAAGAAGGTGCAAAACAAGTATGCGAATCCTTATTACGAAAATTCTCTGTTTTTATAAACCTAACGTGTACGCGGTTCATTCTTGACTATTACAATGAGCACCAACGCAACAATTGAATCTTTTACGGACGTGCAACTCGTAATACGGAATCTTTTTAATTCTGTTTGATCATCTTTCTCTAAATTTACCTAGGCTGCACCTAGTTTGACCTATCTCAAAGTTTATTAATTGCTTATCGTCGTCATTGTAAAAAGTGACGCGTAACGAAGTATAGGAATCTGCGAATTAATAGTATAAAAAATAATTAATAGTAGAAATTAATAATAATTAATGCGATAATTGTTTGATGGATAAACAACCCAATGAATGAGGCATTGGAAGCCTGATTTTACCGCCTTGCTGACAGGCATAAGTCAGTGTTATGAATCAGCCACGATTAATTGCATTTGGATCCACAAGCTGCTTCACCTAAATAACAGTTAACTGTACAAATCAGCTTTTAGTGTACTAAATCGATTAAAAGTTGACCTTAAAAATTATACGGGGCGCATAATACTACGTAGGTACCTCTATGGTAGATGTTGCTCTGTGCGCTGTAGTGTAGCGTTCTGCTTCCTTCTAAATTATATTTAACTATGTCTCACACAAATGTCGCCACAGTCGCTAGTTCATCTTTTTAACCTAATTTTCAATGTTGGCGCCAGCTCCTGGGCCGCTCATCTCGCCCTTGCCCTCGTTTGTCCTCTCTCAGCTGCATCTAACGGCCACCTCGGGCCGTTGCAGTTCTTTCATATCCACTGGCTGGGCAAGGGAATAGGCGATCATTGGATCCGCTGTCGTCTGTGCTCGCCACCTGAAAAAGAAGCTCGCAACGGCTGCTGCTCCACGAGCACGCGACCCGACCAGGCACATACAGCACCGAACGGACACAGGCCAGGGTGAGGCCATCCACCTGCTCCAAGAGTGGCCACCTTTAGCCGGCTTTTAGCAAGGGCTCCTCCTTCCAATTTAAGCCAGACGAAGCTGATAAAGATCTGTCAAAATCAGCTGATTTCGTTAGAAAGGGAGGGTGGTTAAACATCCAAATATTCAGTGAAACCTAATTCCAAAGTGCTCATCTCCAGAAGTCAACGCACGCTGTTGCTGCCTCGAATCCACGATTGAAAAAATAGCTGTTCTTTCAAGCTTCTGTTCGCTGTTGTTCTGTAACTGTGTAATGTGTGTGCGCATACTTAAACCCCAGACTTCGTTATCGAAACTACAAAGTCGAAGTAAGAAGCTGTCCGTTGTTACTGCTGGCGTTATGTAACAGGCTACATATGCTTGAAAAAAGGAACGTTAAAGGCGAGACGCACTCGCCCAGAGACAAGAATAGCTAACCCGCCCAGTACAATAGCAAGCTCATTTCGAAGATTTGTTACTCTTCTGAGCTGTTTATGTCACAACACGAGTGAGTACTATCTGTGTTAGCGACAAGTACCTTGATAGCAAGAGCACCCGAGTGAAGCTGAAGGGCCGGTACAGTGAAGCTCTGCAGTCCGCAACCTGCCCTCGACTAAGCGACCACCTTCATCACCTATTAGGCAGAGCAAAATTGAATTAAGGCTGTCGGATATCCGCGTCAGTAACTATAGGTGCAAAAAACAGATACGAACTTTCAGCAAGAGTTCAGCTGTCACTTTTCCTAGGGCCAATGCTGTTGGCGCCACCAGCCGTTGCGTCAATTGTGCATGTGCGTTTGTGACTGCCACATGCGGTGTGCCGTTGCACTGTACAGATCGAATGATAAGCTAGCTACAAAATAGCTAGTTGCCGTTCGTGGTGCATCAACGAAGAGATCACGGCCCCATCATCGGTCGACACCATCAGCATATTATAAACAAAAGCATTCACAACGACTTCGAGAAAGCACACGATCAACAGTCAGCAGTCGTCGCCGTTGCCTTTTCTGTGGTCTCTCTTAATCGTGGCTTACTAGCGGTGGTTGAATCGTTAGAAACGCGGGCGTTCGATCGTTCTTGTATGACTGTTTCGCTAGTCGTAGCGTAGTGATAGCGCGGTGCGGTAACGGCGAATTTTGTAAGTTCCCAAAGAGCCGGTGGGTGTACGCGAATACGATCCACGTTCGACGCTGTGCTAGATAAATTTTATTTATGGCGTAAACTTCAAGTGTAAAAGTAGTGAACTAATGATCTGAAGGGAAATCGCCTGTTACGCCTGCTGTTCGTAAACCTTGTGGCTTGTTCTGTGTATCGTCAAGAGTGATAATCACATAGACAATGGAGACCGTCATTCGAGAGAAGTTATTGGCGTTCAGTCAGTGGTTCTGGAATGAAGATGTCTGGCTACCCCCTGGCACCACTTGGGCACATATAAAGGACACGTCAAAAGTGAACTACGCCCAAATTGAACAGCTGTACCACGCATTCTATGTCGCATTAATCCTGTTTATAATTCGGATTGTCGTTGAGAAGTAAGTACTAAGCACGACATACTTAGAAGACACTAAATAATACGCTTAGTCAGTCCCGCCACTCATTTAAGCGGTCGCATAATGCCATATTGGACTAATAGCTTTGTCTCTGATACCTAGAGCGCAGCAAATCGACTCCAAAGTCCTTACTACAATAGACACAGTTATACAACGATATATATAAAGATATATTTATACCGTCGTTTCACTATGCACTGAAGCCACATTTGTTCGTTATCTTTCTCTGTGGTCTTTGAACAATTTATTCGGTAAGAATACTTCAATTTGTCCGATGACCTATACGATTAGAATCATTTAGCAAAATGAATAATCCTTCCAGAACGAAAGTGGAAACGGCCTTAGACAGTCGAACTTTGCACGCTGATTGTGAGTATTTGTCAGCACGGGGGAAGTGGGGGATACGTTTTGATCGCCTTTACTGCTACTACGAGTGTACAGGGCTTCGTGTCTGGTTCGGTTGCAGTGCAGCTGTTGGTGTGACCACTTTATTCTTGATGATCGAGTTCGGTATTGAGTATTTAGTAAGATATGGTGATATAATCGGTAATGTTCGTGGCTGGCTCACTTGATCAACAGTGTCAAGCTGCTGTCAGCTTCTAGCAATAATAATAATGATGATAGTCAGCGTCAATACCATCACTAATGCAACTACAGATGCACTGATTATTACGCTATTCTTCATTTCTATATAAATTCCAGTTAGTGCTAACCCGCAGCGTCTGACAGATTGCTACTGCTGTAGAGCCTCTCGTATAGAACGAAATAAGAAATTCAATAAGTAATATTACGGTTTGTGCTAGCTGCAGCATTCAGCGATTCCTCTAGTACAGGTGTTTATCTACTGATGTGCCGCAAAGATACGGTCATTCGCAACTCAAATCCCGCTGCCTCTACCGTTCAACGTTGAGCCCGTTTTCACACTGAGATAGATGGTCACGGTTCAGCAAGTATCGCAACGTTGCTTTTCGAGCGAAGTAGAAAGAGGACGAAACGGAGGACGGCATGATGAGGAATGAAGAAGACTGAGACCTCTAAGTGAAGTACATTCATATGCAGTTTTGAACAGATCGGGCTAATCCTTTGTTGTTTTTCTATTTGTCGCAGAGTTATCATCGTCGGACCTCGTTATTTCATTTGATTATCATCTTCAACAGTTTGGTACTCTTTTCGTGATGGCTGTCGTTGTACACATCGAACTGACTTTTCCGTCCGTCGACTTGTCCAGAGAATCCCATGCGTCGCTACGCGTATTGCTTTGTATCCACCTGTCTGTTGGTTGTTCCGCCTAGGCTGTGTATCACTGTGATTCAGTGACATTTTGCATCGGGCGCCGTAGCCGCAGCGATCGTTGAAACTCCTCATCATCCACTTGTGGGTCGACCGACACTTACGGACGCAGCGGCGGCGACGCAGACGCCAGCACCAACCGGCAAAGCCACTCAATAGGAATCCTTTGTTTAATTATAGTTGTCCCGTTGCTGCTTAGAGTTGGTACTTGCTCTTTTGTAACGTGATACTGCCGTTATTGGCCCTGACGTTGCTGTCCAGTCGCGATCGCGTGCCGGACTAGACTTATCCTTCCAGTTACCTAGGGTCGGCCTGCTTCGCTCGTACTGCCCTCTAGTTAAACTGTCATATAGTTTTAATTGTGCAAATTAAATTTGCTAGTAACTCGTCGTCGTTGAAGGATTAACAAATATTGAATAGGCCATAATTGTCATTGTAAAGGTGATTTGATGTAATAGGTGTAACAATAAGTTCTATGATGCACACTACTGCTGCTGCTGCTGCTGGGGCCGTCCACCTATAATATCTATATGCGTAACGGCTATAGAGCCTTACATGAATGGTCTCTAATGCTGATGGTGTTAGTGATAATAATGATAGAGGAATACAAAGTTCTACTTGAATAGTCGAGGATAAGCTGCCGCTTAGAAATGGAGAAAGAATTGAAACGTCTGGCTCTTTTGGGAAGTTGTTTGTAGCTCCTGAACGAAATAGATATATTGAAAAGCGAGCCTTCAAACAGGTCTCTTTCAAATTATCCGCACACACAACGTTTTTCAGGTATTGGCATTCTTAAGCGGAGTGTAACATAAAAAGAAAGGACAATTCGTGTCTTCCATTCTCACGATGAATCAAACGTAAGCAGCTGCCCTGCAGTTATTTAGTAGGGGCAAACAACATTGTTTGAATAACCAAGATTATAGAAGTGATATTAATTCCTAGATATTATTATCTCGTTCATCTATTCAAACAGGAATCAAATTGTTAAGCCAGTGCTACTACATAGTGCTTGCTTGTTCCGCGAATTACAGACTAGCCAGCTATGAAAGTGCCGTCGCGGACGGATAAATGACTCAACCTAGGTTTAGTCACTCTCGCCATACATCCCCATTATTTAATAATTTCTTCGCAGGGACTACTACCACTGACCTTTAAGGTCCCCTTTTTCTTCTTTTACCTTAGTGTAACATATTTAATTTTTTCATTACCGCCCGTTGAGTCGGTGTCGCTGCGTGCTTTTCTGCCTCTTCTATGGCTGTCACACTCAGACACATCGTATGTGTGATTCGTAGAAACACGAGGAAAAACACGTAGGTCTCACAATGACGATGTATTAGTACAACCCGAACTTTACTTGCAATGGGTCGAGAGAAGATATACGTGTGAATTAATAATTACCGTAGCGTCAGCCATGGGATATGATTATTAGAAACTTTCGATATAAAACATAGATGCTAACGTGTGTTGTTTAAGTGGCGCCTCGTGTAGAATAAAAAGTTGAATTAGTTGCACCCTTATTGTTAAAACGGGTAGTTTCATTCATAGCGAAATCTCAATAACAAAGACAGGGAAATTCGGAACAGGTGACCAATGGCGTTTTGGCTATTAGACGCCATTGGGAAAAGTTCAGTTGGTAATGGCGAACGGTTTTGTTGTCGCCAACGGTTGGCTTTTGATTAACGAAAATTCAACGTAAAACAACGTAACAGCCCGGTCTAATTGATCAACGGCGGTGTTTGCGTTGTACTACTCTATTTTCATAGCTGGTGCTGATCGCCGAATGCAGCGGCATGCGCAACATACTTCATAGAATACGTTTGACGGCCCTTGTAATCACTCAATATCAAGTGGTCTGTTGTTTTGTTTGTGGATTGCTGGTATCGCACAAGGTGACGAGAGACTTCCTTACTCCAAATGTGGTTCGATACAATTCTAGCGTAAGAAACTCTACGAAGGAAATGAGGTCATATCGTCATGTTACTTCGGTAAAAGGTGGCCTGACCGCTCCAAGCATGATTCATTTTAAAAAAAAAATTACTATGAGCGGTAACTACAATTATAAACAGTAAAAGCAACATTGGGTCGTTACAGGCAGCCTCATACATAGCTGTACATAATCTGCATGTACAGATTAATCGATGTACGTTATTTAAATGGCACATTCCATTGTTTTGCGTCCATTGTATTGAGCGAGCGGGTCTACAATCGGAGAACATTGAAAAATACGACTAGAACAAATAGGCCATAACAGTTTAGGGCAGCTAAGGGGAATTCGCATGATGGATTTGTGCTTCCATGTGCACGTATGCGAGCGTTTATAACATTTAGTGCCAGCATTAATAATACAACTGTTACCTCCATTATATTGTATAACGCAAACGTGCACCACGGCACTTCTTGGATCATCGCCATATGTAGGCGGCTCGTATAATCATCAGGAGGCGAAAAGAAAGCACGAGATTTTGCAGAGATCATACATGACGGCTTTCAATGCAAGGCCGGGCATACATGTGCTAATACCAGAGACGTAAGTTAGCTCGGGTTGACTGGTGGCTTATACGAGAAAATGAGCAAATAAAAATTCGTTTAACTTTAACATGAAAGATATAGCATTTATGCATTGTCAAACGATGCCCAGGTAGTGCCTCGAAGGGCGAGAGATGCCTTTATCGAATACTCAACACCTATCCAGCTTGTCATATTGTCGAATAGGTGTGCGTTTGCTGCGCTAAAATAATAGCGAAGTACGATTGTTTGCCATAGATCAAACATGGTGGTCATTGAGCAGGAAAGTAGCAAAGGCGGACGGACACAATGAGCATATACGATAAGCGAACTTTACGTATAATTAGTGTATGAAATTAAAAAGAGCAAAGTCTTTTAAATAAAAGTACGAGGCTCGCTCTTCGTTTGGGATACGTATGCCAGTATTATATTTTCGAGGAGCGTGCCAGCGCAAGCTATTACTCATATAGTGAATCATTTACACGGGTTCAAAGGGTGGAAATATATAATAAGCCCGGTGTACATTTGATATATGTATATATGTATCATTCATATATATATATATATATATATGAATGATACATTTGATAAGAAATTGTCTTCTCTTTATCAGTTATGAATTATGCCTGTTACGTTTATTACGCCAAATGGGTGCACTCAGTCTATTGTTCGATAATCTCGCTAAAGTCACCTATTACACCTAGGTAGATCATCTTGACGTTTAAATCTCTTTTCTACACTTCGTAACTACATGTAAAACACGATTCAACTTTACTATCCTAATTCCATTGAACTTCTGAGCATTAATTTGAGCTCTATTTGTCCCATACTTAATCTTTGTGCAGCCCTCTAAAAAGATAGACGTTTTACTGGTATCTGCATTTGGGTGGGTGGAAGCAATAGAATACAGCTCAACCTAAAGTTCTTGTTTCTCTAACAACAGAATAGTGCCAAAAGTTGCTAAGGAGGAAAGTTTTTCACTAATGGCAAGTGTTATGCTATTAGAAAGAACTAACTGACATGGTTGTAAATTCTATGAACAAAGAACTTGGCTCGTGCGGTGCCCTTGACAACACGGCCGCGTCAATCGTTATCTTAAAAAATAACTTTGTTCATTTACATACAATGTGTAATGTTGATGTGTGTAACGTTGAAATCCCGCTACGTTCGTTAACGAACGTAGCGGG